AAAGTGCACCCAGGAAGAATGTCTGCCTTGCTGCATCCAGGACCCATTCAATCCTGATGATATGGTAGCATTATTTAAGAACTGGGCCTAATATGATCCTGTATACGAATATTACACTAAAAAATAAGATAGGGCTTACTACCAGGAGCTAGAAAGACCAATCATTTTTATTTTGAAATAAAATTAAATATATGCAGTTATTGTATAATGTTGAAAAAAATCTTGGAAGTTTAAAACATAGTAAATAATCAACATTAAGTCAGCCTCTGATCTCCATATGCAATCATATATACACACAAAATAAACAAATGTAAGTTTTTTTAATTAAAAACAATCATGCTATATTAAGATAAAACCATGACATTAAATCAGGGTTTCTTGTTGAAATACACTTACTATTTTTATATTTTGAGAATATTTGTAGTCTGATTTTAGGGGTAAGAATCTTTGTATTGTGTTTATATGCAATCACTGCCCTATCCTCAAATAAACAAATGGCACACAGGTATTTGTATAGATGCTTAACTGGGAATATGCATGGAGTTGGCTAATTTAAATTCACTTTTTGTATAGAGTACAAATATTTTCCATTTTTGTAACAGTTAACCCTCTGTCATTTAAGCAAATCTTCTAACTATTTCTAAAACAAATAATATTCTGCAGTGTAAGGCTGCCTAGCAGGTGTGAGTCCCTGGGTTTGATCCCCAATACTGCAACAAAAGCAACCAAAGAAAAAGCAACCTCCACCTGCTCCAAAGCTATGCGATCTGAACTGCTTTTAAGTCATAGATTATAATTTAAGAATTAGAAAATCTGATAGCCGAGGTCAATAAAGAACTCTGGGTTCTCCAGTAGCACACCTTGCAAAAATTCTGGCTATCTGATGTGCTTCCTGTTATCTCTATATCATTTGAAAATTTGTTCCAACTCGGCTGTGGGATTTTAACTGGAAGATGGATGAACAAGCCATGCAGAGAGAGCACAGTGACCCTCACAGGGTGCTGCCAGACCTCCCTGTCTCTGAAGCAGCAGCAGCATCTGGCCCGAGCTCTGCCACTCTGTGGCAGTCTCTTCTCCCTACCTCACACACCGATTCCACTTCTCCCCTCTTGCTCCTTCTTGGAGTTTGAAACTGCCCGATGCTATCCTTAGCAAATGTCCTAAAAACTAACTTGGAAAGTACATCCGAACTATAAAAACCTTAACAAATGTAAAGATCTAATAGATTCACAAATTAGGTAACATCTCATTTACTGATTGTTCTCTTTTTCTTTCTTCCTTTTGTCTTTTTTTCCCTGTAATGCTCAGGATTTAGCCCAATGCCTTGTACATGCTAGGTAAGTACTCGACCCCTGAGTCACACTCCAAACATCACATAAAGATATAGAACAGGCATTCTAAGGAGCTGTGCTCCACAGGAAGGAAAACAAAAGCAAAGTAGAAATGACAGGGACATCCTTCCAAGCTGGCTCAAGTACAGTGGATTCCCATGAGTCCCTGTTGTGCACCTTGTGAACTTTATTTTTATCATTATTTAAAAAAACTGGCTTATTTCAAAGTTCAATTTAGTTACCTATACTTAGTACCAATGACTCTTGTGGTTTGGTCTGGAGGGCTGGTTAGGCCTGGCGCAAAAGCAAAGGCCTCCAGCAGGTTTCTTTCACATGACCATAAAATAGCAGCAAGCCATTGCGGGCAAATCTTAAAAGCTCTGGGCTAGATTATTTCTTGTAATTCTCAAATCCCATAACCCCGAGAGCACTGGGGACTACATGCAGGGACTTATGGGGAATTACTTCCATTATAATCACTTTTAGACTAAGCCTAGGCTAATTTGTAAGTATGTTCATGTTTTAAATGCACTGGAAGGTAAAGGAGTTTGGCTAAAGCCAAAGTGTTCTGGTCTCCAAACTGTCTGAGACACTCCTTTGTTTTTACAGTAAATCACTGTAGGGCGAAAAAGATAGCATACCACTGAACAGTCTTTGATAGAACTGGTTTCTAATTACATGTCAGGCATCCATTTTAAGCAGAAATGTCAGGGTTTGAAATGACAGCAAGCTGACTGATTGGCAGGGAGTACCAAGGATAAAACTGAGGGTTAAAAGGCTTTGGAAAATATGTGGAATCCTTCAAAACAGTTTGTGTCACTTTGTGCCACTGCTGCTGGTGCTGCTTGTTTGCTGCTGGAATTCTGAAGCTGCTTGCGGAGTGGCACACAGTTCTAGGAGCAAGCTGTTGCAGAGCTGCAGGCTCCACAGACATTTGGTCTAAATTAACAGCCAGAAAGGGATTGAAAATGTCCCCTCTGACAACCTGGCTCTTACGGAAACAAAATGATACATTTTCTAATCTAATTAAGCAGTTATTAAAGTGTCCCCTTCTGGGCTGGCAAGACAGCTCGGCGGGTACAAGAGCTTGCTGCCAAGCCTGATGACCAACCTGAGTGTGATCCTTGGAACCCACACAGGGCAGAGTGAGAACGTCCTCCACACCTAACACAGTGGTACATGTGCATCCCACACAGACGCCACACACTAAACAAACAAGTGTAAAAGAATTAAAGATGTTCTGAGAACTTGTATTCTCTGAGAATAAGGAGGGAAAGAAACTTGTGGGGCTCACTAAGGGAAATAGTAACCCAATCATTAGCCCATACTGGTCATATGCCCTGGTGTCTAGGATGCAACCTTGAAAACAAAGGCCTCTACTACTCTTCCCTATTATTTTCATACAAACTTAAAATTTTATCAATAGGTCTACTGACCAAGGGGACTGATTCTCTAAAGGGAATGTAGGCCTACGTTCACATAGGTAACAACTGTCCACTTTTCCATTAAAAAAAAAAAGGCTGCCTTTTCTAAAAGCACACTGGCTTTTGGCAACGTAGTCTATAAAGGAGCTCCTTCTCCATCACGCTCTCTGGATCCTCTTCCTCTCCTTGGTCTCCTGTCAGGACTTCTCAGAGCACAGCCCTCCCCACCCCCTCTCTCAGAATAATTCCATGAACTTCTATGTCTTCAATTTTACTTCTACAAGTGAGGGGTTAGCACCTTTCTGGGCTGTGCACAGATACTCCTTGACTTACCGTGGGGCTGCAATCCAATAAACACACCAGAAGCAGAAAACCCACTTATACCCTAACTTACTGACCATGTCTAGCATACTCAGATGGGCAAACTTCATCTAATACAAACCATTCTATAATGGAGTCCTGACTCATTAAGTGCTGTGCCACAGGGGAGAAACCATAGCTGTCTGTGTATAGGATGCTTAGGGAAGCCTGCTACAGACATGAGGGGATGTGAAAACACAACAACCAACAAATACTGGAAGCTCTAGAGCATTGGCTGTTTTCCCTGGTGACCGTGCAGTTGCCTGGGAGTCATGGCTGCCCAGCATCTTATTGAACTGGGTATCATTACTCCAAGAAAAAAATTTACAAAATGTGAAGTTAGGCTTCCATTGATGACTAACAGTGAGCCTGTGTTTAAGTGCTCACACGCCTCCTGCAGAACTCCACTTGGAGATGCCACAGGTACTCTGACCATAGACACAACTCATTCCATGCCCTTCAAGCCCACCTTTCTCTCTACTCCTCCTCAGCAGGGTGTATGGAGCCCGCATCAGCTACTTATGGAGGCTGGAAGTCTTGCATTTTGGAAGCCTTCCTTACTCCACTTCCCCTGTCCTCACTGCCACTGCTTCAGTGAACCTCTTCTACCCTACACAGTCCATGGATTCGCTCCTAAGACATTTTATCTTGGCTCACCCTACATCCATCCACATACTGAAAAATTGACTTTTCTTAGGATAATGTCCAAAACTTCAAAAACGCACAGCCTGGCAGGGCCCTTAAGACCTGCCTATTTGGGTCTCTCTACTTCTGTGCCCTCAAACTTAATTTGTAGGGTTTTCCTGAGGTCCCCAAAGACTCTACAATTGGAAAATACCCAGGCTTTCACTAAGCCCCTTTCTGATGAAATCATGTTTAACAGTCTCTCATCTACTCTCAGTCCCTAGAAACATTGTATATATTCAAGTCAAAGCTCCCTGTCAAAACCACAGTATCTATTTCACTGTATTGTCCTCCGATGTTTTCAGTTTTAGTCCGTCCCCCCACTCCCCTTCCCTGTCTATGACCTTTCCTGGGAATGAATGAATCTAGTTTGCTCACATAATAGATAACTCCTATGGAAGACAGAGGAGTTTTGAATAAATAGTAACAGCCTAGAAGAAAAGAATCAGAGGCAAATTGAACACTTTGACTCCCACCTGCTTCAAAATCTCTCAATAAGTCTTTCTCCCCTTTACTCTGCTTCGGCCACGGCCTTTCCTTTCATACTTCTAAACAGTAAAGCTTATTCTAGTACCAAAGGTTTTGTGCTTTGTGCTTCTGATTAGCTCTACCTGCAAAAGACTTCCCTCAGATTTTTATTGGACTAGTTTTTTTTTTTTTTTTTTGGGCCATTCAAGTTGCACAAATGTCATTCTTTGGGAGACATCTCCTGCCAATCTGAAAGAGCCCATCACAACCTAGTCAAACTGAATTCTATTACTTTGAGGTTTTTTTCCCTAATTATTTTGCGGTTTCATCTTTTCTTGTTAAGCAAAAGATGGTTTACAAAGTCTCTCCAACAACTAGAGCAGTACCAAGCAACCAGTAAACACTTGCTAAACGAATAAAGCACTTAAACATGTATCAATATGCCCACTTTGAATCTCTCCCCACCCCCACCCCCGCTCGTTTCATTCACAGGAAATCGCGAGGATCGCTATCCTCGCAGGAAAGGCCTCGAACCCTCATCTCGATCCCAAAGAGCGTGCTCCCTCGCAGGCTGGGCAAGGCGTCCGCAGCCTGGAAGCTAACCGGGTCTCAGAGACCGACAGATGCACCAAGGATCCGCCGCTTGCTTCCCAGAAGCGCGGCGGAGCGGCAGCGAGTCAGGGCCCTCCTCACTTGCCCTCGGCTCTGTCGCCGCGCCAGTTGCTCAACCTACCGCTTACACGCCGCTGTCGAGCCCAGCTCAGCCCGGGCTCCGGGTTACCTGGCTGCCAGCCGGTCGGGCCGCGCTGCCATCCACCCCGCCACTGGCGTCCGCAGCTGCCCGCTCCGGGCCACCGTACTCCACGGAAGGCCTCGCCGGCCCCTCCCTCAGCGTGCGTCCAAGCCCCATTCGTAGTACAGTGTTTCTTAGCAACCACTTCGAGTCTCCAGGCCGGGGGTGGAGCCTCGGAAACCACCGCGGGGAAGCGGAGGGACGAAGCGAGAACGACCAATCGGAGACGAGTTCCAGTCCCTACCGGCCCGCCTCCTCTGACTGTCGCGAATCCGCAGGCAGCTTTACGGCAGCCAGGGGGTGGGGGCCTCTGGGTGAAGAGAAGGAAGCAACCAACCAACCAAGTCGCCCCCACCCCCTACCCCCACCTCCACCCACCGCGGATCTGGTTTACGGCTTGGAGCGCAGGCTCCAGTGCGGCAGCTGATTGGTTGCCGAAGGCTTGGTCCCATCCCAGTGACCCCAAAGTGCTGGAAGGAGGGGGCGGGGGTGGCCCAGTGCAAAGTGCATCCCGAAAGCCCCCTGTCGGGACACCCCGCTGCTGACACTTGGACCTGGTACGATTTGGGGTCTCCCTGTCCCCAGACCTCTTGAGTCCCTCGGTAGCTGGAAGCCTCCGGCCCGGCGCGCGGCAGACCCCTGGTCTGAGCCCCTGGACTGGGACTTGCCCCCCCCCAACCCGAGCCGGCACTTCCTCCCTGCACCCCTTCCCGGAGGCTGTTCCTGAGGCCAAGACCGCCACCTCTAACCGGATCGGCTCTCTGGATGCTCTCCGGGCTGGGGCCGTGAAGCATCGAGGAGAATCAGGAACACGGTGTCCGGCCCTGCCTGGGGTGTTTCTTCAATGGAGAAGTTGGTGAATGTGCAGGAGGCTGAAAGGAGGGAGAGGAGCTGCAGCTGAGGGGACAGGTAAAGTCAGTTTCTTCCCCCCCCCCCCACTGCCCCCCTCGAGGGGAAGGGGCTGACTGGGTGTGGGAGGAAGGAGAAGCCCTGCTTCGCCTGCCTGCCCTTGCCACTCTCCAGCCTTTCTTAGCTCCCCCATTCTCAGAGCCCTCTCCTCGCCCCTGGACTCACTGCACCGCTCATGGGTTTCTGTTTTCCAGGTTTGAGCTGGCTGGAGGACACTCGTGAGCAGAAGGGGTCTACCCACCCGCCGGAGAAGCAGCAGGGAGACTGCTTTGGACCCGCATCCTCTCTAAAGGTAAAGACCAGGCCGCCCCTCCCCCATTGTTTATTCCTGGCCCCTACCTCATTAAGCAGTGCTTTATTTTCAGGGTGGTTGCCTGGGAATGCCAGCTTTCCTAGACCCTAGCTTCCTAGCCAAAGGAGAAGCACAGCTCATGTCCGATCCTTAACATCTCAATAACTTCTCCAACCCAGAAACATCCCCTGGTTCCCGGTCAGAATGTTTCCGTGTTTTGCATTATCTTTTGGTACACTGTGTCATTTACTCTGCTCTGAGGCTTTGAGACCTTTCGGTAGCTCCCCGCCTTCCTTACTCTCTTAGGGATTCCTCGATTCCATGTTAATTGCTTGTTAATTCTGAATGATGCTGCTTTAAACTAAACCACAGTTTACTGTCCTCCCCCTTGGTTTTCTCTCTACCTCCGTCAGGAAAGTTTCAGCGTTACCTAACTGATAATGGCTTGGCAGCAGAAGGTGAACCGGAGGACTGAAACTTGGGGGTTTTGAAGAAAATAATTTGCTTTGGTTTTCCTGGAAAAAGTGAATGTGTGTAGCTAACTTAATAGAAACTGTATACAAACAATTAGCCCCTGAAACAAAGTATGTGGCTTACTCTTTGGGTTTTTGTGCCAGACAAAATGGATGGACACCAGAGTTGTTATAAAGTGGTATAAATATTTGTTACATCTTTGGGGTTCTAGGTGAATTTAGAAAAATTGGCTTTGTACCTCCTTGACAGTAGTGGCACAGTCAGGAATTTGAAAACAAAGTAACGTCTTGGTATGTTTAGCTACCTGGGGCTTTTGGCAGTGGTCTTTCTTGTTTTCTCACTTTAAAACCCTTACAGAGAATTTGCTAGATTGAAATGTAAGCACCTAGTTCATGTGGTCAGATTTCTGCTGCCTATTTTGTTGCTGCCTCCAAAAATGCCCTCAAGGTAAGTTTAGACCATTAATGTAAGCAGAGAATATCTACAAACCGACCATGTGGAGAGAAGGTATACAAAGGACAGCAGAGAGACTGCCTAATGAGTAACTCTATAGCATTTGCTATCACACACACACACAAAATGACTCATTTATTTTAATAACTCAAATTTTTTGGAATTTTCGGTACAAAGAAGTAATTAAATTGGTAGACTTTTTACTTTGTTCCTTTACTTTGTGCCTTGCACACACACACACACACACACACACACATGCCTTTTGAGTTTACTGATCCTTAAGACTTAAAGATAATTTTAAAAGATTCTGAGGGATTGTATATTTTTAAAACTTGAAATTAGATTCCAAAGAAAGAGTGTTATGAATGGAATTTAAAAGTAGTATATATTAGCTTCATGTGATAGAGCCCTCTCTCTAATTGCTCTACTTATTTTGCTTGGTTTTTTTTTTAAAAACAAACAAACAAACAAACAAAAAACAGGGTTTCTCTGTGTATCCCTGGCTGTCCTGGAACTCACACTGTAGACCAAACTAGCTCCAAACTCAGAGATCTGCCTGCCTCTGCCCTGAGTGCTGAGATGAGAGCGCTGGGATTAAAGATGTGTATCACCACTGCTATTCTTTCCAGGCTGAGGCAGTAGGATGGAGAATTTGAAATCAACTTGGGCTGTTTGCAGAGTGAGACATAGTTTTTAAAGAACCGAGTAAAAGAAAGCAAAAGGAGGAAGGAGCCCCTAATATTCATCAGTGACTGTACTGTGGAGAAAATTTAGGGTAGCATTCTTAGACACACACACACACACACACACACACACACACACACACACACACACACACGGAATTAAGGAAAGGTCTGTCAAGGTAAAGGGTAGTTGATACTACTTAAATACAGAGCTCAGGGCTGGAGAGTTCTGCAGTTAAATAGGGATCTCAGCAGTGGGCTGCCTTCTGAGTACCTTATACCTTTGTAAGTAATGGTAATAAAATATTTGGAGTTTGTTCCAGAGATAAAAAGCAGTATATATTTTGTGATCTAGCCTCTTTAGTGGGAGTGGTGGGGGGTTATTTTCCTCTTTAGAGTTAACCTTAGAATGTATTTGCTAGGGTTCCTAAGTGAGGACTATGTTTACCTGAGATTGTAAATGAGGAGCACTAGTCACTCTTGTAAAGATGGATATTCCTTTGTGCTGGTTTTCAGCCAGGCCGTTAGTGATACTTAAATCACGGTGCGTGACTCTGCTCGGCTAGCAATGGTTTTCCTAAGAAAATACACACACACACACACACACACACCCGGGGTGGGGGTTGTAATTAGTATGGTTGAGAGTGTTTGGTTTAGGTTATGTCAAACATTTAAAATTTATTTAACTTGGACATTTACTTAACAACGTGGCCATCTAGATTTTTATATTTCTGTATCTGGCAGTCAACTTGGTGTTAATTTTATTGTGAATGACATTGGGGGTGCACTAATCTGATTATTTGGTAACAAAATGCAAATTTACATCACAAAAGAAGAGTAATTAATGCTACTTAGGTAAGTGCTACATCTTTAGTATGTTATGACCGCCTCTATCTTTTATACCTAAAATGATGTCATTCAGTCACGATTAATTCTATTAGATTATATGCATACATTATATATAAAGTAAATGTATAATGTCTTATTTTGTTCACGTGTGTGTGTGTGTCTTTAGTTTGTTCACATTTAGTGTATGTGTAGTCTCTGCTCACATTTAGCCTTAGTGGTTCCATTCTTAAAATGGGTAAATAAGGTCAGATAATCCAGATATCTAAAGCCTGACCTTCAGTCTTTCATTTTCATGTGAATGCGCTCCCTCAGTGTAACTTTCTGGCAAACTTCTTTTAGGCACTGGCTAAGTTTGACTTGGCATGACTGCATTAATAGAGCACTATTGACAAAGCATTTCTAATACCCGTGGTTTAAGCTTTGAGTTGGATCTCTGTCACTTCATCTGCATTTTGTGAAAATCATTGGGTTTTCTCCTATAATTTATGTGAGTCATAGGTGCTGTGCATGACAATCTTTTTTGTCACCCAGAGGTCCAGTCATTTGAAGGAAATGCAATGTCCTTCTTTAGGGACATGAATGCTATGGTATGTTGAGTGATACCAAAATAACACCTGCTTTATTTGGGCGTCAGGCTCTTGGTGGTATAAGTGGAGCCCGGCAGCCTGCATGTTGGCTGTATTGTGTGCTTTGATCGGACAGAGTATATTTCCATTCTGGCTTCTCTCTGGGGTCTTGTGAGCCATTGGTAGATTTTTAATTTTTGTCCTCAACCCAGTGTCTTGAAAGTTGCTTATTTCTTTCCTTATCATGATTTACTCTGCAGAGAAATGCTCTGTGCTATCCTGAGTCAAGTGCTGTGTGACCTTATTTCTGTTGGTTTGAGACCAGGAAACGGAGGTCCCATGTGTGTCCCTTCATAAGATGTTGCAGAAACAGGCAGCAAGCCTACAGTCCTGACACGTGGGAGCTAAGGCAGGAGGATCCCAGGTTGCTAGCCATCTTGCCCTTACAAGGGAGGCTTGGTATCTCAACCAAACAAAACAAACAAAAAAAGTGGAAGAAAATAATACGCAGAAGTGATTAAGTCTTGTGTCGAAGGAAATTGTTGAGACATCAGATTTGTTGAAAGCTATATATTCTTGAGCAAATTTCTACCACACCTTGATTAATGTGTATATTCTACTTCAGCCTATTATCTCAGTGTAGATTTTCTTTTAACTGTGCGAGGTAATTCTGATCTTAACTGAATGAATTTTACTTGTCCACCTGTAAAGAAATTAGGCAGCAAAAAAATTGTAGTATTCAGTATGGTCAACTGTATGAAAGCTTGGAGACCTAGGTTATGATCTTTTCCCTTTTTTATAGTAGAAAAGATGAGTTTGCCAAATGTAAGCATAGTATTAACATTAAGTAGTAGGACTACTTTAGAAAATGATACGCATTGGGGAAAAAGATTCATTTCGACTCTTCCAAAGTCTTCCATATTTGTTTATTATTTTCTTTTTTTTTCCTGAAACCCAGAATGTAATTTCTAGCAGTGAATCTGATTTCAGTGGTTGCTGGAGTCTACAGCCATAATTAATTTAAGAAAACCTTCCGTTGAATGTATATTATTTAGAGAATTGCTCCTTTGTCATGACTCCTATTTTATAGATGATTTCTGAGAGCCATCAGAATTTTGAACTTGTATTCCCTACAGAAAGTTTGGCGTGTCCATTCCCACCTGTGGCTTTTCTTGATCCCCCCCCTTTTTTTTTTTATAGGCACCTGTACTGCTGAAGCTGTATTTGTTCTTAAGGTCCGTGGTGCTTTTTTTTTTCCCCTCAAGTGCCCATAAAGTAAACCAAGAGGAAATTAGCTACTAGTCGGACACCTGGGACTTTGGGGCTACCTTGATAATGCAGACAACAGAGATCATGTGTACATGGTGTGTGTGTTCTCCCCTGTGATACAGCACGTGCATGTATGGAACAGCTTTTCAATTTAAAGTCTGTGGTCTTGGAGAAATGACTCAGTGGTTAAGAATTCTTCTCTTACAGAGAAACCAGGTTCAGTGGTCTCAGCTGGCGGAGAGCCCTGATGCTGGTTCCTTTGTCCTGGTGGCGGTGTTTGCTTTGAACACTTTCACGCCTTCAGGCACTGTAAGATGCTCCAGGCGCACCTTGCAGACTTCCTGCTCTGGTCTCCAGCCTGCTCGGGTCTCCGGCCATTTCTGCAAGGATTGTTCTGTAGTATTTGTACTTTGCTTTGAAGGAGTTATTCTGACCGTGCCTACTACTTTTATTTGGAAATAATAGGCACAGGTCGCACTCAGAATTTAGTTCCGTGTGCATACAAGCATTTTGCTGCTCTTAAAGACTTCAGACAAGGGAAAGTAAAACATGAAGAGAACACAAGGGACGCATGGCTGGTTCTAATGTGAGCTGAGTGTCCCCTTGCACAGCCTGCAAACCTCCACAGCTGCCACTCGTCCCCTGCACACGCCAGCTTGGCACATGGCCTGTCCCTCTTGTTGTCTGAAAGTTGAAGTGATAAAGGCTCTGCACTCCTTCCCCCCACTTGAAGGGGTGACAGGTCTCCCAATAGGCTAATTCCTAGAGTGATCTCCTTGTGATAACTGTGTGTGGGGGGGGGTTGTCTCTGCTGTCCTTAACCTGAATGGAATGTACAGAACTGGGATTCAGTGGGAATGGGGAAAGAGTCCTTTTCTTTTAGCTATATAGAGAGAAAGAGATTGGGTTTTTAGTGTTTTGTTGTTTAGGAAATTATGAGCATAAGCTAGCAAAAACTCTGGCTAGTTAATGTTTTAAGTTGCTGCATTGTATGCGTGTAAATGTTGTTGACTGGATGCCTTTAAGGCATATGAAGCACTACCATTCAGTGGCATAATCTTCATTTACTTATCATAGTTTACATTGGCCTTGGGCAGCTGCTGTATTGAATACACACTATTTTTTTCTTTTTAGTCCTGTTTTTAAAAAGCAGGTGACTGATGCTGTCCTTAAAAAACTAATTCAAAGAAGCAAGCCTGAAGTTACAATCTCAGTAGAAAAGACAGGAATCTCAGCTTGTATCCAAATTCTAAATGTGTGATTTGTTATTTTCCCTATTTACTCTTTTTCAAGAAGCTGGAGAATGGGGGAGGGGGAATAGAAGGGCACAGAATGCCAAAAATAAATCATATTTGATTGCATCTTGGAGATTGTTGTAAGCAGCAAGATCATTTTTTCCTAAACTGTCTCTGAGTTCTATCAGTTTGTTATAAATTCCTGAAACCTAAAGTCGTCAAAAAGTAGAATTTGCCAACAGCTGTGGTCCTTTGTTAGTTTCGAAGACTCCCATGATTGTTGTTTGATTTGTTTTTAGGTGAAGCATACTCTTGCTCCAAGGCCTGGACATGCTGGGAGCCCCTTCCCCATGATGCTGCTTGTGCACAATGGTCATTAGACAACCTGTCTACCAAGAGAAGAGTCATTCTTCTGTAAGGTAACTCAGGACCATCAGTCGCCGATGCTGTTTTAAGGAAAATGACACTTAACTTTTACTTTTCCTCTTGAAAGCTGCTAATGAGTTGGTTGGGGCTGCTGCTTCCAGTAACAGAGTGTATGCTTAGAGTATAGGCTCTGGACTCAGTCTCTAGCAGGAATAGAATAGAGTTGAACAGAAATGAATGAGTGAAATTGTGATTTAAGAATAAACTAATATATCCACAGTGCAGCAGACACTTGAAAGAAAAACTTAAGTGTGTTGTTTCAGTCTTTTTCCTGCATAGCAGGCCTCTTTCAAGTGCCAAGGTAATCTATCTGAAAACACTCTTTGGGGGCTAGGGCAGGGACTTAGTGGGTAACTCATGCTTGAGCATAAGTGTGAAGACTGAAGTTTGGATCCCCATTTACTCATGTGAAAGCTGAACATGGAGAGTGCAGAGACAGAGAGGATCATGGGGGCTAGATAGCCAGCCAGTCTGGCAGGAATGGTGCAGTGCAGGTTCAGTGGTGGACCCTGTCTCAAAACACAAGGTGGGGAACTGTAGCAGAAGAGACCCTAAGTGTATGTATGCACATATACCCTCAAAGCTCACTCGGAGCCAGTGTGGTGGCACACACCTGCAGTCTCATTGTTTGGGACGTAGGGATGGGAGGATCAAGAGCTCAGGGCAAGCTGAGGCTGCTTGGCAAGTTGGGAGGTCAACCTAAGCTAAATGAGGCTGACTCAAAAATAATAGTAAAGTAAGTAAAAATTTCAAAAGCATGCTTTAACGATGGTGGTCTGAATAGACGGTAAGAGCTTCCATTAATCTTCTGAAGTTTCAATATTGTCTCTTAAAGCACTGAAACTAATATGAAACTATTCTGAAAGGTATTTTCTATGTTAAATTTCTAAGCCAAGAGACTGAATTTCAAGGAAGTAGTTAAGTGAAGAAACAAAAGGAAACTTGCTTATTAAGAGAACAAATTATCAATAAATTTCCTCTTTCCCAGTTTTCTCTGAGGAAAGAGCTATTTGAGGCAATAGCTTGATATTTTTAATTACATCACTTAGTGATATTGCTGAGACTGTAACGATGTCATTTTTATGTACAAAAGCTCATGAGATGTTTGTGATCTTAACCTGTGTTGGTTCTACCAAGCTAGGCTTACTTATTTGTATACAGTCTATGGTGAGAAATTTTACAAGAAAAATTATTGATAGCAAAATTATCCTGAGTTGTCTAACCTACATATGAGAACAGAATATTTTCAAAGGGCTTTACCACATTTTTTTCTTTCAATCAAATTTACTTATAAAAATAGAAGTTAGATTAATCTAACTGCTTCTTTCAGTTGGAATGTCTTCCCAGGAACTTGTCAGCTAGGTTTCTGTGTATATTCCAATGCTTAAAAGCACACAGACAGCTTGTACCCCGACATGAGAAGTAGCCATTTTACTTTGGATTTCCTTATGTGCATAAATGAGCTCATTCGCTGCTAGGTTTGAGGATACACTTCTCCATGACCTGCAGAGGCCCTGGACTCCTCAGCGGTATTGTTCACTGAAGTCGTTCATCTTGTGACTAACCAAAGGTTCTTATGCTACTTTGAGTGTTTATGAAGGAAAACTGGTACAGAGTTGGAAGGATGTGACAGCAAAAGAGGGGATGAAATACCATGATCAAATAGTCTGAGGTGGGAAAACCAAGAAAAAGACACCCACACACCTACACACCTATATATACCTATGTACGTAAATGTAATCTACTTTACTCCAGCTTAGTTTGCTCAGCCTACTTCCCCCAAGCTTTGTTACCTTGCATTAAAAATAAGATACCTGGACTACTTCGGACCCTCAGCCTGAAGTGTTTTCTTCGTCACAGGCTTTATTTAGTCTGCATGAAATAACAAGCTGTTTTCCAGTGCTCCATATTGATGGGCTCTGACATGTGAGAGAATCTTTGAGTAGTTTGTGACTTAAATCTTGATGGCGCATCTTATAAATCAGACTTCCCAAGACCAATACCACTCTGGCCCCTCTGGTACTGCATCTTAGCTTCTTGCTGCTGTCTCTCATTGTGTCTAAAATAGAGCCATGGTGGGGAAATGTAGTTTCAAGTTTTCAAAAGGATGCAGAAGAGAGTTTTCTGTTAATTCAGGAATCTCTATCTGGCTTTCTCTTTCAATTAACTTGTAACCTTAATACAATCATTGAAAGTTTTGGTCTTAGCATATGCATTTAGCCAGTAGTATTGAAGTGCTGTTAATTACTGTGCTGATCTAGGAAGTAGACAGTTCTGTGGTGGTCAGAGGGCACAGTGCAAAGAGTCACATTTTCTAAATTTCATGTGTTCTACCTTTCCCGAAAGGCTGATTCCTTTGACCTAATGACTGGTTGGTGAAAAGCGGACTCTGCTAGGATGTTACACCACCACTGTCGGAGGAACCCTGAGCTCCAGGAAGAATTGCAGATTCAGGCTGCAGTAGCTGCCGGGGATGTTCACACAGTACGAAAGATGCTGGAGCAAGGCTATTCCCCAAATGGCCGAGATGCCAATGGCTGGACCTTGCTCCATTTCTCCGCAGCAAGAGGAAAGGAGAGATGTGTTCGGGTGTTTCTAGAACATGGAGGTGAGTTTACTAGATGGAAGGAGAAACTTGCAATGGTGTTGAGTTGGAAATGCACTCATGCACATTTGCACGCAATTTTTAATGCTTCACTTGCCTTAATGTTCAGTGTCATTTTTTCCTCTTTGCAAAGATTTTTGTGAACTAAACGCTGAGTTTTGTTTCAAACCAGATTACTGAGTGGGCTTTACCCTGGCATGTGTAATTTCTACAGGGACTCAAGCTCTCCCAGGTCTTCAACTCAGAACCTTTATTGGGGCTGGCAGCCACTTGGGTTTCAGAAGCAGAAGTGGTGGCATTTACCACTGGGGTGTTACCCAGGTTTCCCCTTTTGGAAATTGCTCAAGCAGAGGAACCTAGCACCAGTCCCTTTAAGCATCTCGGTCCTCCCCCTCCCTTAGATTGTGGATTTACCTCCTTTTCCTCTTAGATGGTTTCTCTTGTTCTTTTAGAGCTCTTTCCTTTTCCAGAACGTACAGAGTGTGTAGATATGCCACAGAAGGGTGCTTGTCTGAGGTCTGAGTCTGTTGACAGACGTGGTTAGTGACTACATTGGCCATTTCTACAAGGCTTTGAAACTAATCTTCTCAACTGACTCCTCTCTCCAGTAAATTTCATCTTCATCCTTAACTTGAAAATAGGGGGCGGTGGTGTGTGTGTGTGTCTGTTCTAGATACCATTTATGTATACATTGTCTATATATTAGGGTGTGAGACAACTTGTCTAGACTGTTCTAGGACCCGGATCATTCATCAGCAGTGGTTTTGTTTCATTCCGAGAGTGTACTCTGAGATGTGTACTAGTAAAAAGACTGGCCAGACTTGCTTGCCTTCTGAAGTGCAGAAATGTTAGAAGTTCCACAGCTCTCCTACAGACCATGTGAATTAGTGACTGTATGAATGCTGATGCTAGGCTAGCTTCAGGAGAAAGCTAAATCTAAGCCCCGGAGTGACCATGTGTCCCAGCTGCCCAAAATGGGATTCATAAGCCCCACATTGTTGGCTGTGGACAGAGTCCCTGGTTCCCCAGCCTGTGTCTGTTCATAGCTGTCTTCCGTCTCATTTTACCCTCTGACTTAACAGACCTCAGTTCTATAGTTAATGAAGGGTGCGTACATGGAATGTCAGGAAAAAGGAGCAGAATGAATTCTGCCCGTAACTTGGTAAAATTGAGGCTAAATTAATTAATTAAAAATTAAGGTAAGATTAAGGCTAAAATTAAGACTGTGACTCATATTTGCTTTTTTCACCTAGTCCAAGTGCCTTTCAGCTCCGTCAGCCTCACTTAATAAGGAGTATGTCCAGGTAGTCAGTAATGCATGGACATCATCTCCTTTAAACAAAGCACACCCTCACACACACTCTGCACAGAAGCCAAACCCTGCGTGGCCTGCCCGGCTCCTGCCTGCCACTACTCAAAAGTGCCCCTGACTTGGGTGAGTCTGGGTGCTTAGCCCTCTTATTTCTTCCTAACACACTTGTAGAAGTCGTGTTTCATGTAGTTTTGAAACTGAAGAGCTTCCTGGCTTACTGCTCTGCCACAGTTGTTTCTCACTCACCTTTGTGGAGCATTGTGGTTTTTTCTTAACTCTCTGGGGTCTGCTGTTGTAATGTGAGAAATTAATATGACATGGAAAACTTGTCACAGCTCTCTGACTGGCTTCCAGTTGAACTTTTTGTATAAGTCAATGAGTGATAAGGGCGGAAAGGAAAGGCTAATGATGAGCCGGGTTTAACCTGTGGACTACAGCTCCCGAGCATCTCCCTCTCCTCCACCCCACAGATGATAACTTGCAGGCCTGAGGGTGGTTGTGCGGTGGAGTGTATAGCTAGTGTATTTGAAGCCTAGTGTTCAAATCCTAACACTGCAGTAAAAGAAAAGTGGGTGTGTGCATGCACACATATCGTGTGTGTGTGAGTGTGTGTGTGTGTGTGTATGCGTATTTGTGCGTGCATGTGTGCATGCGTGTGTGTGTGACAAACTGCAATTCATGAACCCGCACTGCACAGTGTAGTGCATTTTAGTGTATTTGTGGAATTGGGTGTCCAGCCCCACAATTGATTTCTAAAGTAACTGTTAAATCTACAGAAAGAAACTTCGGTGATTCTGTTAGTAAGCTGTTTAGACTTACCCTGTTCTCTTGAGTACAGTATGTATATTAATATGCTTCCATTTGGTTATTCTTTCAACTTTGTATGTTCCTTTTAGTTTTCTTTAGCAAGCATGAAATGTTCTCAGCAGGCGTTTGAGGAGGTAGTGCATAATAAAACTACTTAAAACCCAGGTTGACATTCTTTGGGCTGTGCAGGGTGGTGGCCACTAGCCGCTCTTTGCCACCTGACTCCCCTTCCAGAAGCCGTGGCTTTCACTGGCTTCTGGTGCAGCTGCAGAAATAGCCTGTGCCCCTAGCTTAAAAGTTTTCAGCCTCTTCCTTCTATACCATAACTCTTCTTACTGTTCTGGCCAGTATCTTGCCTTTCGTTACAGAGTAGCTTCATCATGAAGGTTCCCTGTCAGTACCCAGGTCAGCTTCAGATTCCACTGTCTGGGTCCAGTTGATTTGCCTTTAACTCCAGTTATGGGACATTTGAAATTGTTTGAATTTTTCTTCTAGGGCCAATATTGCAGGAAGTGTTCTTTTTTTTTTTTAACCTTTGTTAGAGGTTTGTTGTTTTTTTTTTAATTTCTAGAAGTACTTGCCAAGTCAAACAGTATTTTATGGATGCTGACACATTGTCCTCCCAAGAGCCTGCAGTTGCCTGTGCCCTTCCTGACTGGGTGGGACAGTGCCCGGTCCCCACTTCACCCAGCTGCGTATTGCCAGATGGCTGGCTCTTCCTTGTGTGACGTGCTTACCCCCTCCCAACGTGTCATGCGAGTATCAAACTGATAAGCCTGAGCTTGTCCCTCTCTTGCTCACTTTTGGCTTGTTCAGGTGTTCTCTTTTGTCAGTTCCCAGTGGAAACCTTTCTCTTAGTTTGTAGTAATCCCATGTTCCTATTGCCCTCACTCTAAATTGGGCACGTTTTATTTTGCTTTTGCCTGGGTTGTGTCTCTTTGGTCTTGGTTAGTAAATCCTTTATACTGCAGGGTCATTATTTGCCTGAATTTTCTTCTCAAGATTTTGTAGCACTTGGGTCACCAACCTGCCCCTAATTGGCATTTGTGCATGGCAAGCGATTGTTGATATAATATCACTGCTGTTCCCACAAAGATTGCCTAAACTTTCCTTCTTTCTTCAGGGCTGCACGCTGCTAGGTCACATACACAGGTTCAACATCCCGGCTTCTACTCTTGAGTTCTCATTTAGGGCCTCAGGACCAGTGTAAGGCCATTTGCATTGTTCTCTGAGAGCGTTACTCCAGTCAAAAGAGATCTGTAGGATGCATCCCATGACTCCCTTCACTGCAAATTATAAAATAAGTTTGAAAAGGATAGTTAAAAAGGAAGCTCATAACCCCACCCCAATGGTCATAGTCGTTCATGAGGCTTTGACACATATGTGCATCTTCCATGTAATGTCCTGGCACAGCTGTAAATGGCCCTGCAGCCTAGAAGTGCCATGCAGGAAAGTTACAGACCGTGCTTGGCACCTCTGCCCTCACCTGTGATGTGACCAGTTGCTTGTTCTTCTGGATGTCTCCTCTGCTGACCAGCTGTCCTTTTTCTTCGCTTCTTTCCACGGAGCCACCGTTCCACTCTGTGACAGGGAAACCCCTTCTCATCAGGATTGTGCATCGATCTCATTCACCCCCACCTTATATCACCCTGTCCCAACCCAGTCTCCAAATAATGTGACACCTCTAAGTAGAAATGGAAATTAAATCCAGTAGGGACTTCTTGTTTTCCTGCACAGAATCTACGCAGTCCGTCGTGTGCTCAGCACAGCAGTGGATCATCTGACCCCTGCAGTTGCAGCTCTGTGCAGCAGCCCCTCCACCTCCTTAGGGGTCTCTGAGCTTAGAGGCGTGGTCACAGAGGTCACTGTAAAGCGTCTGCCATCATGGTCTTCTTTCCTTTGCTTACACCTGCTTCCGCTTTAAGTCTTCTCAGCACTTTCTCAGGGCTACCACTTCCTTCCAACAGACTAGGTCAGGTGGAAACTTCATTTTTGTCCCATTAGATGCTGCCTCCGGGCCCTGGATGGTGCTGTCTCTACCCTGTGGGATACTGTTTCCTGGAATAGTTGGAAGCATGCTGAAGGGCTTTAGCTTTCTGTTCAAGGTCTGTAGCTCTAGTTCACCTGAAGGTGCTGAAGACAGAACCACATGCATGTTTGTTCCCAGTGAAAAAGAACAGAAACCAGCAATCTAAGCTGATTGCTTCCTGACCTTGTGAGCTAAAACTGATCTAAAATAGTGATGATGATGATGATGATGATGATGATGATGATGATGATGATGATGATAATGCTTAAAAGTCAGTCCCTCATTGGGTTAGGATTAGAAACTGCCGAAATTCATGGCAGCTGCTCTTCCAAAATCACCAAATAAGGGAACGAGGGAAAGGACTTAGAAGCAGGTTAGTTCACTTTGCCCTCTGCACTACTTCCCTCTCTGCTCACTCTGTGTGTGTGACAGTGACTCTGAGATGTATGAGGTGGCCATTTGGTTCCAGATAAAGCGTTCGCTCATCTTCAGAAAATGCTGCTGAGCACCTAATGTGTTCATACCAGGCCCTGTGTATGCCAGGCCCTGCCTTCAGCAAGCTGCAGTGGTAAATGGCCCTGGTATTTCCCAGCCCAGCAAATGAATGGGTCAGTAGCCATGTTCCCTGGTGACTTGTCCTGTGATGCTCTTAGTTTTCCCATCGAAAGATGAGCCACAGAAGCAAATGTAATTCAGATACCCCAGGTCTTCACCTTGATGACAGCGGAGCCAAGCTCCAAACCATCATCTAAGCTGTGGTTCTGTGTTGCCTAGAAAAGAAGCAAGGCATTCCAAGAGAGCAAAGTGCCATGTGGAACAAGGCCTCTCTGTGTGAGGTGTGAGAGTCCAGGATCT